GATTATAGCTCTGCTTTTAACTGCCTTGTCCCAGGTAAACTGATTGAAAAGCTCATGTCTCTGGGTTTAAGTGTTGCCATGTGTAAATGGATTTTTAGCTTTTTAACTGACAGATCTCAGAGAGTGAAAATCAATGACTGTTTTTCTGATGTTGTTTCTGTGAGCACTGGTTCTCCTCAGGGATGTATTTTGAGTCCTTTGCTTTTTACTTTGTACACTCACGATTGTGTGTCTTCCTCTGACTCAAACTTGATCATCAAATATGCTGATGACACCGCCATCATCGGTCTCATCAGTGACACTGATGAATCCTCTTATAGAGCAGAGATACAAAATGTGGTTCAGTGGAGTCAAACTAACAACCTCCAGTTGAACGCATCCAAAACATGTGAACTGGTCACGACTTCAGTCGCAATAGTTCTCATTTGCCTGTCGTAATCGACAACTCCCAGGTGCAGATCGTAGAGGAGTGCAAGTTTCTGGGTTTAACTCTGTCTAACCTGAAATGGGTTAAAAACACTGAGTCGTTAAGAAAGCTCGTCAGCGTCTCTACTTTCTGCATAAACTTAGAGAATTTACCACTAACTCTAAGATTGTGCTTAACTTTTATCGCTGCACCATTGAGAGTTTACTTGTTGGTTCTGTGTCTGTGTGGTTTGGAAACATCACAGATAAAGAAAAGAGAGCTTTAAACAAGGTGCTCCGCTCTGCAAAGAGGACCGTGGGCTGTGAGACCAGAGAGAGACCAGAGAGAGACCAGAGAGAGACCAGAGAGGGACCAGAGAGAGACCAGAGAGAGACCAGAGAGAGGCCAGAGAGAGACCAGAGAGAGACCAGAGAGAGACCAGAGAGAGACCAGAGAGAGACCAGAGAGAGACCAGAGAGAGACCAGAGAGAGACCAGAGAGAGACCAGAGAGAGACCAGAGAGAGACCAGAGAGAGACCAGAGAGAGACCAGAGAGAGACCAGAGAGAGACCAGAGAGAGACCAGAGAGAGACCAGAGAGGGACCAGAGAGAGACCAGAGAGAGACCAGAGAGAGACCAGAGAGAGACCAGAGAGAGGACCGTGGGCTGTGAGCTTCCTGTTCTGAAGGTTCTTTATAAATCCAGACTTTTAAACAAAGCTCTTAGGATTGTTAATGACTCTTCTGGCCAACCTGGGAAAGCCATGTTCCAGCTTCTTCCCTCTGGCAGAAGATATCGCTCTCTGAGATGCAGGACATCTCGTTACGCTAACAGTTTTTATCCACAAGCTGTTATCAGTGTGAACAGAGCACTTTAATGATTTGCACTTGTTTTGAAACTGTTTTAGTCGATCGATTTCACAGTGACATTTGTTTACTGATTTATTTGTTTTATTTCTGTCTTTTAATCTTGTTTTATGTCTGTATTTGTCTGTGCACACTGGTGACTTTTGCTCATGTATTCCTATGTGGTGTTTTTACTGCAAATGGCAAATAAACTGAATCTGAATCTGAATTTGCGGTCGTCAGCACAGTGTGGGGCTCTTGGTTTGTAGTTGGTGATCAAACGGAGCCCCATCCAGACATAGGCCGGGTTGTTTGCAGTCAAGAGAGCGCACCAAAGAGCTGAGGCGACCATGCAAGGCGCCATCATTTTATACAATTATACAAACAGCCGTTGTTTTGTGCATTACAATTATTATTTTTCTTGCTTTTTCAAGCTGTAGATTATGGAAGCTCGTTTCTGCCATGTAAAAAAAAAAATAATAATAATCTACAGAAACTCAAAATTACAAATTATGAGTTTAAAAGTCAAAATTACAATCAGAATCAGAATAATTGTTATTGCCACGTAAGTAACAGGAAGCCACAGACTTGGAAATTGCTTTGGCTCAGTGCAACAGTCAGAAAGAGATAATAAAAATAAAGAATAAAAAACACTTCTAAGGAATACATTTAAATTTAAAATAGAGTTACAGTTACTATTTACAATATACAAGTGCACATGGTGCACACAATGTAAGGTGACAGTAGTACAGTGAAGTAAAGTGACGTATGATGGGCAGTAAAGTGACTTTATAAAGGGCGGGGGGACAGGTTAAGAAGTGTTCAAGAGACCAACAGCAGAGGGGAAGAAACTGTTCTTGTGGCGGAAGGTTCTAGTCCTGATGGACCGCAGTCTCCTGCCTGAGGGGAGTGGTTGGAATAGTCCATGTGCAGGGTGAGAGGGGTCGGCTGTGATACGACCAGCCCGGCCTCGAGCTCGGGCGACGTACAGGTCCTGCAGCGATGGAAGGCTGCGGCCAATCACTTCCTCTGCAGAGCGCACAATGCGCTGTAGTCTCTGTTTGTCCCTGACTATGGCTCCAGCGAACCACACGGTGATGGAGGAGGTGAGGATGGACTTGAAGTCTTCCTGAAGTCCACAATCATCTCCACTGTCTTCTGGGCGTTCAGCTCCAGGTTGTTACCACTGCACCAGGAGACCAGCCGGTCCACCTCCCTCCTGTAGGCGGACTCATCGTTGTTGGAGATGAGTCCAATGAGGGTGGTGTCGTCCGCGAACTTGATCAGCTTCTCGGAGTCGTGGCTGGAGGTGCAGTGGTTGGTGTACAGGGAGAAGAGCAGGGGAGAAAGAACACAGCCCTGTGGGGCTCCTGTATTTATAATCCAAGAGTCCGAGACATTCTTCCCCAGACGTAATCGCTGCTTCCTGTCCGTCAGGAAGTCAGTGATCCACCTGCAGTTGGAATCGGGCACGTTGAGCTGGGAGAGCTTGTCCTGGAGCAGGGATGGCAGGATTGTGTTGAAGGCAGAGCTGAAGTCCACGAACAGGACCCTGGCGTAGGTCCCCGGGGAGTTCAGGTGCCAGGTTGATGGCGTCGTCTACAGATCTGTTGGCTCTGTAGGCGAACTGCAGGGGGTCCAGGAGGGGGGAGGTGAGGGACTTGAGATGGGAGAGGACCAGGCGTTCAAATAGATTCATGACGACAGACGTAAGTGCTACAGGTCTGTAGTCGTTGAGTCCTGTGATCCTGGGCTTCTTCGGGACGGGGACAATGATGGAGGATTTGAAGCTGGCCGGGACATGGCAGGACTGCAGAGAGGTGTTGAAAATATCAGTGAACACAGGAGTAAGCTCACTGGCGCAGTGTCTCAGAGTGGCCGAAGACACGTGGTCCGGGCCAGGAGCTTTGCGGGGGCACAGCCTCAAGAAGAGTTATTTAATATCTTTAGAGGCTATTGTCAGGCTGGGGGCAGGGCTGATGGGTGGGTCGTTAGAGTAGTGGGGGTGGGGGAGGGAGAGGTGTCAGGGGCAGCATCAAAGCGACTGAAAAAAAAGTTCAGTTCGTCAGCTAGCTTGTGGTCGTCAGCACAGGGCTTTGGGCTTGTAGTTGGTGATCTCCCGTAGGCCCCTCCAGACAGAAGCAGTATCGTTGTTACCAAACTGCTCCTGTAGTCGTTCTCTGTGCCGGGACTCGGCTGCTTTCAGTTCTTTCCTGAACTGATATTTAGCTGCTTTGTAGCCGCTGCGGTCCCCCTCCCTGAAAGCAGACTCCTTTGCTTTTCTGAGCTGCCGGAGTTTAGCAGTGAACCAGGGTTTGTCGTTGTTTTAGATAACCCTGGTCCTTGTTGGAATGATGCTATCCTCGCAGAAGTGAATGTATGACGTCACAGTGTCCGTGCATTCATCCAAACTAGCTGTGGCAGCTCTGAAAAGGTTCCAGTCTGTAGATTCCATGCATGCGCGCAGCTCTTCCACAGCTTCATCAGACCACACTTTGGAGCTCCTCAGTGCAGGTTTCGAGAGCTTTAGTCTCTGTCTGTAAGCAGGAACCAGATGTATCATGGAGTGATCTGAGAAGCCGAGGGCTGCCTTGGGAACGGCGCGAAAAGCTCCGTGCACGGTGGTGGTGCAACACTGATCCAGAGTGTTCTCCTCTCTGGTCGGGCATTTGATAAACTGTCTGTATTTGGGTAATTCCTGGCTCAAGTTTCCCTTATTAAAATTCCCCAGGATAATAATCAGAGAGTCCGGGTATAAACGTTCCATACACAGTACTTGCTCTGCGAGTGCACGCTGAGCCTCGCGCGCGTCCGCACATGGCGGTATGTAAACAGAGGCAAGAATGAATTAAACAAATTCACGAGGGGATTAACATGGTTTACAATGAATGAAAAGATATTCCAGAGCAGGAGAACAGTGCTTGGAGATCACTGTCACATCGTTACACCAGTAGAAACACAGCCCTCCGCCTCTGCTCTTTCCTGATAGCGCACAATGGCGATCCGCGCGGAACAGCCCAAAACCCTGCAGCTCCAGAGCGCAGTCTGGGATCCGCTCATTTATCCAGGTCTCAGCAGAGGACACAGGATGTGGCAAAGTCCTTGTTTCTTCTCACGAGCAGACCGAGTTCGTCCATCTTATTGCCCAGTGAGTGTACGTTGGAGAGAAAAATTCCGGGGAGAGCCGTGCGCGCTCCTCTCCTCCTAAGACCACACTTTTTTGGCTAGAACATGGACTAAATCCGCCGCAGATGCCAAGAAAACAGGCAATAGGTCCATGGGAACGGTGGGTTGGATGTTCATAAGTTCCTCACGGGTGTAGGAACAGCCAGATGCACAGTTAAGAAGTAAAAACAAAAGAAAAAGAGAGCAGCAAAGAGCCGTCGACCGTACGAGGCGCCATCTTTTATGCTCACAAGTTTAAAGGCCAAATTATAGACCCATTGTAAATTGTAGTTTTGAGTTTTGAACTCGTAATTTCGAGTTTTAAACTGTGCATGTGCAGTTGTTGCCGTGTCTTGGAATGGTTTCTGGACATCCTTTGCCTGCAAGTTAGCAGATTATGTTGAAGATATTGCTGCTTTGAGGCATAGATTGCAAATATTCAGTACATTTCGAAGTTCATGTGTGGGATTTAATATTTAAGATGGATAATGCATATGTGGCATGTCGGTGTGCACCGCACTGAAAGATGATTTGCTTGGACTTATGGAGCCCATTAAAAGCAGGTGCGTGTTCGGCGCGCGCACATGAGTCTTGGCCTGGGTGCGGTGGTCGCACGTTTGGTGACCGTCAGCTTTACTTGGTTGGAGGCTGCTGGAGCGCGTGGGAGAAGCGCTTTGGCTTTTGCCGCGAGTTTGGGTGCTCCACAATCGAGACCCTGAGCTGCAGCTGGGACAAGTCTGGTATCCATACCGGCTCTCCCCCTCCTCCCACTGGCCGTGAGTGCGTGCCTTTCACTGGCAGGCTCTCTCCACGTGTGGTCTATACCAGGGCTACCACTCTGAAAGGCAGCCGCTGTTCTGTCCACCTCTGTCTCGCATGTCTCTGGAGACGCTGGAGCGCGCTCACGTGTGGCCTCCTGGCTCGGATCACACCGCTGCAGCGTGCACGAGCGCTGGAGTGCTCTAGTTTAAAGGGCATGTCCTGTGGCACCCGGACCTTCGTTAATAATCTTTCTTTTTGTTTATTTAGGTTATTCTGAGTGGTTTGGTGAGTTTATCTTGATTTGGTGTTGATTTATTTTGCCTTCGCATGCTTTTTGCTTGGCTTTTTCTTTTGTTTGCTTTATTTGCATGGCTTGCAGTTTGTTTTCTTTTATTGCATGACTTGGTTCATTTACATTGCTATTTGTTTCTTTTTGTCCTTGTGTCCTGATTTGCCACCATTTTAAGAAATACAGTAGGTCCCGTTCCGTTTTGTCGCCTTTCACGCGTGAATCACACGAGACTCACGTGTGATTCACGCGTGATTCACGCGTCTTTTATTTCCCCCCCTCCCAGTGACGTTGCAATGACCAAAACAACCACCAGGTGGCACTTGTGAGCAGGGTTAATTTGGCGAGTTTCTGCCCCGCGCACATCGACAATCTGGTTAAAACGGGCAACTCCTTGTAGCAGGCCAGTCTCTGGAATAACCCGCAGACATTAAAACTACTGCACACTGAGAAAAGTGTTGCAAGCGCAACTTTGAACCTAAGTACTTGTATTTACAATTTCGGACTTAAAATTTATTCTTATGGTTTTAATATTAGAAAAATAATTTCCATTTACTAAAACAAAAACAATATACCCACAAATACGTTTTGTGTGTGTATTGAACTAAATTTTGAAAAAATATTGTTGGCAGTGCAGTGCTTCTTAAATCTGACGCTATCAATAAGTGTTCAGACAAAGTAATTTCTACTGGGCGGGAGTTTGCTTCCGGTTCGGACCGTTTCCGCGAGCTTGTTGTTGGTGATGGGCGCTGAGCCAGCCTTGGACATGGTTGTCTGGTTTCCCGTGAGATCCAACTCAAAGTAAGATTTTTTAAATATATGGTGCTTTCTCTGTAAGGTTTGTCGCGTATTTGATCAAATATATACAATCTGTGGTCAAATCGTCGTTTTATTTTCTTGGCAGTTCGTGTCCAAAATTACTTCATGTTAGCCTAACTGTCTACTCTAGCCCCAAACATGTTGTTAGCATAAAACTGTGCCAGTATAATGGTCCTACAATTTCGTTGTTTAGCAAAGTGATTTGTGTTAAGACTCGTAACATTACCAACAACCCCTTAAATGTTCTGAACCATAATAACAGGCGTAGTTTTCGCAGTTTGGAGCTGCTAACTTCTAGCTAGCTGTTGCTAAAGGTACGCAGCTAACATAAGTAGACCAAAGTCGCTACTGTCCTGCTCTGTCTTGTTGCCGGAGGTGCAAGTGGAAAATACAGTTGGCAACAGAAGCCACGTGACATTTATTAATCTTCTATTATTTTCTACTCTTGGGGACAGTTCATTTTCCCGCAGAAGTCCCTAGTTACATTAGCTCAGCGGAGCGACTCTCAAGGAGGAGACAGGTGCAGAGCATGGTGCGGAGGCAGAAAACATGTTTATTGCTATCTGAGATCGCTCTGATTTCCTCGCGGTCAGAAAGTAGCTTGTTTCAGCAGAAAACTAACGTTAAGTTAACAGCTACTGCATGTTGTTAATGTTATGACCCGTCCGCATCAGCATCACTGTATTATATCAAGGCCTGTCTGTTTTAGCCAATGTGCAGCTATATGGTTAGTTATGATAAGTTCAAATACATTCAGAAATCTGCAGCACATTTAAAAAACCCAAACAAAGTATAAGTGATACATTATAAACATGCATTTTTAAAAGAACATACTGAGGGTGACTGCTATAGCCTATTGCAGTCACAAAATTAGAGTGGAAATGCTAAAAATCTAATGTGACTTACATTCGCATTTCATATGAACAACATTTTGGCATGTTAATTTTGAAATAAACGATATTTTGCTGGACAAGTAGGTTTTGTTTCCGGGCAAGTAAAAAATACCTGCCACTTCAAGTACCTCAAAGCACTTAATGTCAAGTCCTGACAAGGTAATACATTCAGCTAAAGACAGGTACATGTTGTGGTATAGCATGTTTTTTGTGGAATCACGTGTAGTAACGCAAAATGCACAAAGCACTTTGTTTGTACTAATCTAATGCATTTTTTATATGTAAAAAGCAGCACCGCCTGTTTAAATGCTTATGATATTTGTCCAATGAAGAGTATTTTTAAGCATGTTTATTAATTTTATTTTATTTTATTTTAGATTTTTCCTTTCACTGCTGCCAATTGATGGAGGAAAGCTACAGCAGGAGGTAAGTGTGATACAAAAAGAACTGTTAATAAATGATGTGAATGTAATGTACTCGCTAGGGATGCAATAGTTTTTTGGGGGGGGGGCATTATACATTGGTTGGATCCTCCTCCAGACTTGTTTCTGCTTTTTGTAATGTAAAACATTTTATCTTAACTGCTTTAAAGTGACTCAATGGTGTAAACGTTTTTGGGTCTGGAGTTTTTTTTACTGTAATGCTCATTGTTAAATAATATTTTGAATATGAATAAGGGCTGTCAAGCGATCTTAGATATTTTTATTCGCTTGATACACTTCAAACAAATTATCTTCGGTCTTCTTGCATCCCTTGTATTTACAATACATTACAATACTTGCATGTGATACTGTTTGGTATGGGCCACACTGATTTTGTTTCTGTAATTTAGAGCATAAATGAGTGTGCCCTGCAAGATTTGCGGTGAGTCCTTGGCAACAAGAGAGGAGATTTTCCATCATTTGTCATTATATACGTTTTTATATCTAAATGAACACAATCAGAAATATGAAAACATATTCAAGATAAGAAGTGCTGAATACTTCCTAATTCGTGGTGTTTTTTATTTCTATGTTGTTTCGTAGGATCCAACCGCTGCTATAGAAAAGAGGAGGGAAGTCGTAATCCGAGGCCTAATTGAATACATGGGGGAGAAGCCAGGAGACTTGATTTCAGATCTACAGGTATAATTTCCAATCTTTTCTTTTTCAGGGTATAAAAAAAGTACCGTACCTTATGCTGATATGTCTATCATTAAGAGTAGTAGTATCACCAAATCCTCTTCATCCTCTGCATATGCTAAAAGTCAGCATATGCAGATTATTTAAAAACATTTTGGTCTCATTTGACCATAGAATAATCTACAATCATGTAGAAAAGGTTAAATCATCTACTGGACTGGGTTTTGGTAAAGTTGAGGATGTTTCGCTTTTAGTGACACAAGCTTCTTCAGAGCTCTTAAAGTCATAAAAGAACACTTTTACCCAAACTGGACTAAAAACTAAAAAGACCCAGGTTCCTTCCAGAAGGAGAGAACCAAAACTGCCAAAAATGTCTATTCAAATTGTTTTCAATATCACTCAACTTTACCAAAACCCAGTCCTGGCGATGATTTAACCTTTTTATAAGATGGACACTCCCTGGATGAATGAGAGCCTTCACAAACATCTGACCATATGACATTCCCCCAGCCCTCTGGATGGAATGGTCACTGGAAAACTTCAGTTGGACATGAATGAACATGAGCTGGCTAAAGCAGCTGGACCTGTATGGTATGAATTAAAGGCGCACCGATCTGATCTGTCACCAATCATGATTGGTCGATCACGGCCTAATTTTTGTGATCGGTGATTGGTGAAATGCGCCGATCAGAGGGGCCGATCAAACGTAGATTTCAGACTTTCTTACAGTAGATAATCTGGTGAAAACTCCACAGTATAGCGCCGCTCTAAACCGAGTTTTAAATGTAATTCGTGGCTACAAAACCGCTCTGGATGAAATGCTCGGCTGTATCCCTCTGCGCATGTCGGCTCTCAGTATTTGACAGTGATTAGATTTACTAACCCACTTTATTATTTGTATGGCTGAAAGTCCTTTCTACTGACCAACATCACGCTCATGATTTCAAAAATTGTCATTGGTTTATAATATAAACCAATGACAATTTTTGAAATCATTATGTGCTGAAAGAGGAGACAATGAACTTTGAGACAGTTTTTTTCATGTGGATTCTCCTAGTAATGATCTCAGTCAATACTAGGAGTACTACTACTCATTAACCAAAAACTAAGACAAAAAATATTCAGTTTGCCAGTTACCATAGTTAACGCCATGGAATTTTCACTTGCCCTCCACCTCAGTTTTAAATGAACACGTGAACACAACCTATTGCATTGACTATCAAAACATATCAATGTCTAATGTATTTTTCCCTCTCAAATAGAGTCTGGAGGAAACTGAAGACACTCGGCAGAATATCGCCTATCCAGTGAAGATTGTCAAAGTTGGTGACACGTACGAGATCAGCATTGATGGCCTTCAATGCATTACAGGTTTGGGCACTGTAGCCAAGGCCTCCTGTATTCTTGTTGGCGTTATATACGCATTGGACTTGAAATACCCACCCAAGCTTCAGCACACATTTGAAACTTTTCAGAGATTACTGATTGGTCTCAGTCCTGTGAAACCAAGAGCATCTGTGAGATACAGTTCACTCCTTAAAAAGCTGTCTTAAAGTTTGAATTAAGGAATCCTCACTTTTGACCCTGTTCTAACATTGTTCAAATATAAAAAGTGTTTGAAAATTCAAAATGGTGAGTTATAGGCTGAGTTTACACGGAGACAATGTGGCAGTAAAACGGTATAGTTGGATGTCGGTTGCTACCAACCGTTCATACGAAGACAGTGTTCCAGGGGGGTGAAAACGTAAGTGTTCAGATCCAGCCTGCAGAGTGGGACAACTCAGATACGCTGCACAGCGGGGAGCTTTTTCACACCCGCGAGAGGGGAAAGGTGTGAAATCCCCCTCTGCTCTGACCCCCGCCTCCGCGCTGCTCCCCGCACGTACATTTGGACATGCGCAGTAGCGGAGAACAAACATCAACAATAATGGCGCCGCCCACACAAACTAGCTACGTGGGCTTCCAGCGCGGGACAGAGGATAACTCTACTCCTTCGTTCGTCCAAACGAGACCACGCGAAGCTCTAGGTTCAGTTCCCATTTTCACAGCTGCTGTTAAAATGCAGAATGATGTTGGTACTCTCTGAGGGTCTGGCACAGGAAGTGAGTACACTGCCGAGAGGGGGGCTGGGCACGGGGCTCGGGGTCGTGTGTCGTGTTGTAAAGTTTCTCTGCCCACTACTGGCCGGGCGCTAGAACTACATCGTTTTTCAACCTCATGTGAACGCTGAGAAATTTGCATTAGGAGCCAGGTCGTTTCTGTTAATAGCCTGGAAACGTCTGCGCAGCGTCTCAGTATAAACAGGGCTATAGAGGCTTAGAAGCACAATGTATCAGTTTTGTGAACTGCAACTGCATGTTTGTGTGTTGCAGCAGACACCTTTGTAATTCCCTCTGCAGTAGATGTAGCCATTTTTTTTTTTGTCCTAGGGATGTGGATTGTTCATTTGGGAATTATCTGTTCACTCACTATGATTTAGTAATTTTACACATTGTGTAGGACAGGGGTTCTGAAACTTTTAAAGGCAGGAAAACAAAATCAAAATTTGGATGAAAATATTCATTTCACATTGCCCTTTTTATTGGTAGTTGTTTCCTTTTTAAAATATTGTATATCACAAGGAATTTATATATATATATATATATATATATATATATATATATATATATATATATATATAATGTATTTGATCAGACTCCCTCTAAATACAACTTCAGAATTTGAATGAGACGTAAACGACTAGAACATGATTAAAACCAAAGTCCTTCAAGAAAGTTTTTAGAAATCTTTAAAAAAAAATGTCTACTCATCTTTTTACTTTTTTTTTGTTGTTAAAACTGGAGTGGTAAGGAAAAATGGTACAGAGTTCTGTTGGAAGATAAATGTAATATTGAATATATAGTTACATTTAAGTGTACATATTGAAAAATAAATGTTGACGTGGAAAAGCTTTAAAAGGTTTTATTTTTTCAGAACACAAGCATATTGGTATAAATGTTTATTTTAAAGTCATGTAATTTTTTATCAGAGCTGACATTCTTGACGTTTTTTTGTATTCTACTAGAAAACATGTTGGGAGAAAATATTAACTCAAAGAAATGTAATTGTTTAATCAAAGCCAAAAAATTCTGTGAAAGATTATCTCAAAATATTTGTATTATTTAATAAGAACACCCAACATGTTAGGAAAAAAGATTGACTCAAAGTAATTTAATTGCTTCGTCGTCACATGTCTGAATTTTTTTTATCTTAAAATAATTTCATTGCTTTATCTTGACATCAAATTGTTTGGAAAAATGATAATCTTAAAGTAGCTTTATTGTTTCATAATTACAAATAATTGTTTGTTGTTATGTTGCTGTTTATCGATCCTGATGGTCACACGTGAATGTGTGAGCAGAGGGGGGAATGTGAGATTTCATAACACTTTTAAGCAACTTTTGTTAAAGTTAAACTCATCATTCTATCAATGTGCAGAAGCCTGTACTTTTCCACTTCATGTTGTGTCTATCTGAAGGCCAAGCTACAAGCACAACGTGGAAGCTGCTGATTGGAGGTCTCCATGCCTCCGCTCTGTATAATACACTTGCATTCTGTTGTATCTGTTGTTCGTGCTGTCTCTACCATCGACAATAAAACATGTCTTCTGTCTGAATTTAAGACGCGATCCCAGACTTTGTCATCTTCTTCAGGTGGTGGAAGGATGCGGGCCTTGTCTGTAACATCTAGAGAACAGAAGACATTTGCATGTCAAATGAGGTGATGACCGAAACAACAGGGGGCTAGGGTGGGCTTTGTTTATTCGTCTGGGGGAGGAAGGGCTGCGAATGAGTGACTTCCAGACTGAACCCTGAGAATTAATATACTGTATATATTTTGTAATAACATTTTTAACACAGTATGTTTCATTCTGACTGAAGCACATGATAATGTTATAAAACAGTATGTTTCATTCTGACTGAAGCTCATGATAATGTTATGTGATGTGAGAAATGCACTAAAGCCACTGGAGAAAAACTAACTATTCAGATCCTCCCCCTCCCCCTAAGATGGCAAAGTGAAGCTCAGCCTGTGATAACGGCCCTATTTACATAACAAAGTTGGCCGTTCACAGGTGATTTCGTTTGTTAGCTAAAATCCTTGGGGTCATTTGACACCGTGGAGGGGATGATAGGTATAAGTGCCAAATGACACCTCCATGCGAGTGCTAGTGTTAAAGCTGCTTTCAATATCTTTTCAAATCTGTTTTCCTTTTCTCCATAGCATGTCTGTAACAAAAGTTCTCATAATCTGAAGTCAGCGTATTTACATGGTTTTATGAAACAGAATTCTGAGAAAAACAGGTTTAAAGATTGACATTCCAAACATAATCATCACAGTCATATAACATGTAAATTTTGAATTACTCTGTTATGGCACACTTGTTTTAGTCACTATGTTGTAGAAGATTAAAAAGATGTTACTTTGGCACCAATTAAACACACAACACTCATGAATTAGTCGAACATCAAGAATGTATTGATTCTTTCAATATTCAATGGATTGAATTTTGACCTCCTCTTCTTTTTCTTTCTCTTTATAATTTACTGAAAATTAGATATGTATTAGACATTGCCAGTATTATTCTATCAAATTACGCAGTCTAAATATCCACAACCACCAAGCATTTTTAATGCAAGGAGAAACTTAGGTAACTTTAAACACAAATAAAACAAATGGACCTGTCCGACTCGAGTGTCTATGCTTCGTGTGTCTCTGGTTCTGTCCAGGTGTCTATGATCCGCGTGTCTCGCGTGTCTCCGCCTGTCTGGGTTCTGTCTGCGTATATGTAAATGTAAATGTAAATGTCTGTCTGTGGTTCTGTTCGCGTGTCTATGGTCCTGTCTGTGGTTCTGTTCGCGTGTCTATGGTCCGCGCTCGGAGCCCAGACGGCAGTGCGTTCACTGAGCTGTCAGAGCGGGGGTCACAGCAGCTGCTCCCGGGGCCAGAGCGGAGGATGTAACGTAACGTTCGGTTTATCAAAACATATCACAATATTTAACGTATAACACTAGTGAATTTCACCTAGATTTTTTCAGACATTAAAGACAAGATGTTATATAATAATTGTTTAATGAAAAAACAATTTTGCCACAAGCAACCAAAATTGCCTCAGACAAGAATCGAACCTGGGTTCTCCAGGTCCCAGTCCTCAATGTTAACCATACGGCCAACATAGCATCTCTGGGCTAGACAGGTTTGCACGCAGTATGATACCTGAGCGTCTAGTCGCTGGCAGAGCTAAAGCGGACTTAGCCTGCCACCTTGTGGCGATAAGATGTACTATTTTTCACGCAGCTGCGTGATTCCCGAGAAGCGTGAATGAAGACGACAAAACGGAATGGGACCTACTGTACATTTTAACAATTTTTCCATTAAAGGCCTATTTGATGTATTTAACTTATAATTGTGAAAATAAACTTGTGAACTGTTTTGTAAGTATAGTCTCGCGTCTCCTATGTCCACAACTTGAGCGGCCTTATTATACCAATTATTTGGGTGGTCCCTAGACCACCTGGCGTTGCTGGAACTGTTAAATCTCCCTTTTTTTTACACCCTCACGTCACATCTTGGCGTTGCTGGCAGGATCGGACATAATAAGAGACGTGAAACTGTATCACATCAAGTTTAAATGTTTTTTTGAAAGTGGTTTTGATGAGTTGTTCTTCGAGCTATTTTGATATATTGTACTTTTATCGTGTGTGGGTGGTAGTTTGGACAGAACAGCGGTTATCATTTCAGGTACCAAAATTAATCCTCTCAGTCAATTCTTTTCTATATAGCTTTCCTAAAGGTTGCTTGGCTCTGCGCTCTCGCGAGTATGGAGGAGGAGATGCAGCAGCTCAGGGAGCAGCTGGCTCAGCTTAAGGCGGACAATGAGCGACTTCTTCACAATGGGGCGTCAAATCCGGCTGGCCCGAGCGGGGCTTCCCAGGCCTCGGGCGTCTCCACTGGTCAAGCTCGGTCGCTGGGCTTTCACACCCCCACTACAGACCGAGTGCTTGTGATGACGCGGGACCGAAAATGCCCTCTGTTTAATGGTAAGTCCGGCCTATCTTTCAGTGAATGGTTGGAAGAAGCACAAGCCTGTATGCGGGCTCGACACCTCTCTCCAGTTGATCAAGCGTTCTTTCTCCTCGACCACTTGGAGGGGGAGGCGAGGAATGAAGTTAAGTTCCGTCCAGTAGAGGAACGTGAAAATCCAGGTAGAGTAGTAGAAATTCTTAAGGAGCTCTATGGTTGTGCCCAACCATATGTCACCGTGCAACAGGCATTCTTCTCGAGACGACAGGAGGAAGGGGAAACTTTGCGGGAGTTTTCCTTAGCTTTGTTGGCTCTTATGGAGCAGGTAAAGCAGAGTGCCCAACTCAGAGGTTCTCCTTCGAGACCAATTTACTGAACATGTCATTGATGGTGCTCTACGTAGGGACCTGAAGCGTTTTATTCGTGATAACCCATTTGCAACCTTGCTTCAAGTAAGAGTGGAGGCACTAAGATGGGAAAGGGAGGGGCTCCCCGGCCATTTCAGAGAGCGTAGTTTCTCCCTTCCCTCGGTCAGTGGCCTGCAGTATGAGGTCAGGGGTTTCACTCGCCCCACTCCGGTGGCACCTGGTCCACCTGCGGCACCTGGACTGAGTGAGGTGATGGAGCTGCTTAAAATGCAGCAGGAGCAGCTTAGTCTACTTACTCAGACAGTGGCTTCATTGCAGGCCCCGCAACAGAATAATAGACGGCAACGCCACTACGGGCCACTACGCCAGCGAATGCGATGGCGAGAGAATCGTGTCCCGTCCTCGAGCCAATTCTCTGGTCGGACCATCCAACGTTCCAACCCGTTCGGGAAACTGAAGCCCTCTGAACCGTGGAGCCAAAGTTCAGTAGGGGAGGTCCCAGGCTCACAGGTCGGCAATGTTACAGAGTTAATGGCCTCTTGTCCAAACCTTATGGTGGACATGGGTGGGGTTCATATCAAATGTTTGGTGGATACCGGTTCAATGGTGTCTACCATTACAGAAAGCTTCTTCAAGGAACATTTCGAACCTTGGGGCTCTGACCGCCTCCGCTCCTGCCATTGGTTGCAGTTGCGGGCAGCCAATGGGCTTGAGATCCCTTACATGAGCTACCTGGAGCTCGATGTGGCCCTCTTCGACAAGAAGATTCCCCGCTGCGGAGTACTTGTCGTACGAGATCCTCCTGGCACCGGGGACTCTGCCCCTGAAATTTTAGGTATGAATGTAATTCGCCGATGCTACAAGGAGCTTTTTGGTACCCATGGTACTTCATTGTTTGATTTGCCCGCAGTTGTGCAGGCCCCGGGTCCAGTCATAAAGGCCCTACAGAGCTGCCACCATGCTGCTGCAGCGCCAGAAACCACTATTGGCACGGTGAATGTCAGAGGGCCTCGAGCTGTGCGTATACCAGGTGGCACTATGAGGCTGGTTGTCAGTACATGCCCTGGACAGTTCGCTGGAAGAGCTGCCCTGTTTGAGCCCCCTCCGACTGGCCTTCCAGCTGGCCTCCTAGCCTCGCCTTGCCTGGTTCAGGTTGACCATGGCACGGTTTACATCCCGGTGGTCAATGTGGGGACAAGTGATGCACTCCTGTATCCCCGGACCACCCTAGGATCCCTGAGTAAGGCAGAGGTAGTGAGTTTACCTCCGGGAGTCACAGAGGTGAGTTCCGTTGCCGCCACAGTGTCCTCCCAGGCAGAGGCTGAGTCGATCCAGGGCAGATTGGAGGAGGCGGACCTGTCCGCCCTAAAGGAGGAGGAACGGGCAGGAGTCAGGGCTTTGTTGCAGAAGTACAGGGACGTGTTCGCGGCACATGAGGGCGACTTGGGGTGCACCAGCTTGGTTGACCATGAAATCCCTCTGCTTGATGACGTTCCTGTCCGGCAGCGCTATCGGCGTATTTCCCCGTCCGAATACGAGGCTGTGAAGTCTCATATAAACCAGCTCCTCGAGGCGCAGGTGATCAGGGAAAGTAATCCTTATGCATCTCCCATCGTCCTGGTCCGAAAGAAGGACGGGAGTCTTCGCCTGTGCGTCGACTACCGCCTTCTTAATAGTAAGACCAGGAAGGATGCCTTTCCCCTGCCCCGCATTGAGGGGAGCTTAGATGCGCTGGCGGGGGCCCGTTGGTTTACAACCATTGATTTGGCCAGTGGATACAATCAGGTTCCGGTTGCAGAGCAGGACAAGCCTAAGACGGCATTCTGTACTCCATTTGGTCTCTTTGAATGGAACAGAATGCCGTTCGGCTTGTGCAACGCTCCGGGTACCTTTCAGCGTCTCATGCAGAGGATGTTTGGGGACAAGCAGTGCGATTCCCTACTGCTGTACCTAGACGATATAGTAGTTTTCTCCACTTCAGTTAAACAACATCTGGAACGACTGGAGCTGGTCCTGAGTCACCTTCAGAAGGAGGGCTTGAAGGCAAAACTGGAGAAGTGTGCCTTCTTCAAGCGAGAAGTTGGCTGTATGTAAGGCTTTAGGCAATATTTTATCAAGCCAGCAGATGGCAGCATTGCTCTATGAATGCTTTGAAAACAGCTAGATGCACATGTGCCTCTTTTTTCTCAGATTTCTGGTGATTTCAATAAAACTTACCTCTACTCGACTGGGGATTACAGGGGAACGAAACAAGCTAGAAACATTTCAGATAGTCTTGAAAATTCAGTAAAAATCATCAGAAACGGCAGGCAATATTGGAGTAACGTTGTCATATAATACACGCATATATATATACACGCACAGGGGCCATTCTCTGATGTTGTGTGACACACGGAGGAGAGGAGGAGACACGCTGAAATGCAACAAAACTCGCAAAATTAAAGCTGGGGTACCTACATTTTTCCTTTCATTAACAGCTCTTGTTGGTTGTACCCAAAAGTATAAGGTTGTGAGCAAGTCAAACAGATTAAAGTACATTTGGTATGAATAATAATGTGTCATTACATTTGAAAATCTTATTTAACTTCAATTGGAGTGGATTTGAAATAGAATGTAAAAAATGCGATTAATCGTGAGTTAACTCATCATTGATATGTGATTAATCAACTAAAAAAAATTAATCGTTTGACAGCCCTACTTATTATTAAATATATATTTATACCTACTGTAATATAAACTTTTTTATGTGGTCGGTATCGGGGCCCCCACTCTATTGCCTTGGGCCCCGGGGTACCCTTGGAACGCCTCTGATTGGGTGGGAACGTTTGTACAGGTATCCGATTTCAAGTCGGAAGAAGTTTGTTCACCCACACTACCTAGAGCTTGAACAATTATTGCATATTTACAAGAAGTCCTAGTCATTTATCTTATGGAAGCTAATACCATCGGTATTAATCGGTATTATTAATAGTATGTATTTCATAATTTATTGAATGTGCTTTTGTTGCGGCAACAACTGCATATGCGCAGTTAAAAATTCAAAATTTTGACTTTTAAACTCGTAATTTTGAGTTTTAAACTTGTAATTTTGACTTTTAAACTCAGAATTTTGAGTTTTAAAGTTGTCATTTGGATTTTAAAACTCAAAATTATGACTTTTTGTAGCCTTTAATTTGTTTTTGTTTTTACATGGCGGAAACGGGCTTCCATAGTAAATGTTACTGCAGTGCAGAGTTCATAATTTTACTCTGATCCAGAGCAGAGAGGATTCACGGTCCGAATCAAACAGTTCAATTGGAAATCTACAGGAATGCTTTTTTAAATGCTAATAAAGCAGTCAGCTTTTCACTCTGGACCAGAACAAAGAAAATGTTCTGATCAAAGAAAATGGTCCAAACCAAGCGGCTGCTCCATGCTGCTGTGACCTGTCCTGATCCACCCAGCGGCTACACCACTTCTGCTGCTGTGACTTTATTACTTTTGTTAACAACTTTTAGAATTATGTATTCATTTGTTTTGTTTGTATGGTTGGATGTGTTTCTGCTGCTACTGGACACCTGAATTTCTCCTACGGGGATCAATAAAGTATCTATCTATATTTATGTTGTAAGCTCGGTTAAATGACTCAAGGGGACAAGAAAGTAATGCTCAGGAAGTGACACAGGCCTGAAAGGAAGTGAGAGCGGTGGTCACCATGGAGACGACCACTTGAGTAAGTTCAGACGTGGAGGTTGGGTAATAAGAGGAGGCAAAGGGTGAGAATCTAACAGCCATTCTACTCTGCTTCAGTCTGTATAACGTAAGATTCATGAGCCTCATTCCCACTAAGCAGAAACACAGGAATTCCATCCAAAAACATTTCCTTACATTGTTTTCTCAAGGTTATACATCTCCACTCCAGTCTCATGGGGAACAAGACAATACTTACTACATAATAGTGTAAATTAAGCCGTGGAGCCATGTTTTGGTGAGTGAAACTTCACCGTCAGAGTTTGGGTTGTGGCACGAGACTCCTCTTTCCTTTATAAACTTGTCCTTGTGAAAAAATATGTTGGAAAATATCTTTAGAAAGATTTAGAAGATAGATTTGTTGTAGTCGGAAATAATTTGATTATTTCTGGTCCAGGGTGCCCTCCCTGTGGTGAACAGCCACCATGGGTCCAAACAATACGGCCACCTTTCCCACCGTAGTCTCAGGCTGAAACGTCACATGTAACATCTTTGGCAATTACAATTTGTCCGTGTGATTAAAAGATATATTATAGAATAAATAATAATTATTTTGCATCTAATTGTGATCTAATTGAATCACTGATTTTGTTAAAACACAGGGTGATAATGTTGTCTCCATGTGATCCTTTGGTTTGTCAAGTGGAGAAGCAACCAAACATGATGTTAATCATTATTGACAACTCTAGAGACTATATACACTCTAAACATGTGACATTTCACGATTAAAGTGGGGCAAGGCATTTAGTCAGCCACCAATTGTGACCAATCTCATGGACTGACCACCACTCATTGTTCACGCATACACACCAGACTCATATGAATGTGGGTGAAGTGTCTTGCCTAAAGATACAACGGCAGTTTGGCACTTTACAGCCCAAGCACCTGGCACCACCTCTGTGGCACCTAGTATTCCCGGTGGTCTCCCATCACATTAATAACCAAGCCCTCGCCTTCTTAGTGCCCCTGTGTTTTGCAGGCACTGTACAGTAAATTGTAATTGGTCTGCTGAAAAGTAAACAAAAAAGGAAAATGGGAGTGGGGACAAAAAAACACTGTTCTGATTGTGAGTGAATCTACTGCCAAGTAAAATATAACCGGACCTATCATTTTACAGAATACTAAAAAGATACCGTGTAACTGGAAAAGAATATTCCAACAGACAATACACAAATGCTTTTATCAACAAGGATGGAACTAAAAACAAGGAGCTACAATGTTGTAACACTGTATCCCATATGACAAAATACTGTACATGTCACTAAATGTTCCCATAGCCATACTTAAGTCATTGTAATCATTCATCTCTTCAGAGTTACTGGACGGATTTTAAATAGTTGTTAAAATGACAAAATGAACGTTTCATATATTCTGAGGTCGACATAGAGCTGTCTCAGACTACATCTGTAAACACAACCGTGTCTATAAACAGAAGAGAGAAGTCTTCCTGTAACCTGCGTCCTCTGACCATAACATGACCACAGCCTATATGGATATTGATTAATAGGGACAATGAGACTATTTACTTTGTCGTCTCATGTTTTAAGTAACCGACACCTGTGAAGTGAAAGCAAAATTATACATGATTCTTTTATTTTAAAAATATTAAAAAGGTTCCTCAAAGCAGGAGCTAATACTTTGTGGAAGCTCCTTTTGCGGAAATAACGGCAGCAAGTCTTTTGGGGTATGACTACAATATACTCCAGAGACAGAAAGTTGAGCAATATAGGCAAGACACTTTACCCCCATTGCCTAGAATAAGTCTGGTGTGTGTGTGAATGGTTGTTGGTGGTCGGAGGGGCCGATGGCTCATACTGGTTGCCTCGCTTCTGTCAGTGTGCCCCGGGGCAGCTGTGGCTACAATAGTAGTTTATCACCACCGTGTATGGAGTGAAAGAATAATGACATGTAAAGCGTCTTTGAGTGTCCAAAAAAGCTCTATAAAAAACCGGTGCATTATTATTATTATTATTAGCAGGTGAGCACAGGCTGAGTGGGAGGGGGGTAGTGGGGGGCGAAAGCTCCGTGGGTGCGGGGAGGGCGAGCAAAAAGAGCAAGCCCAGAGCTCACATTCGAAAATTTCTCAAAGTCAGTTAGTGCTGCTTTAATGTCAGTTGAAGGTAAAAAGTTACTCCTTTGGTTATACATAATTTTATTGACTATTTTCTTAAACAACCATACCATTTAATTTATTCTAAAATTTTAACCCTACAAGTATTTTGAGGTTAAGTAGGCCAATGATTTGCTTTTTTGTAACTTCATCCATTGGGGGGGGGGGGTGGCCATCAGAGCTGCACCCAATTCACAAAGCACCAGCCCCTCACTGATCCTCCTGCAGGTGGTGAGTCCACAGGAGGATTTGTGACTAAATAGCTTTATGTTTGGTCCAGTTTTGAGTCAACTGAACTAATTTACTTCAGAAAAATCTATCAGAAATGTATCCAAGTAATCCACCACCAAAAGAAATGTTACACTGGTGTAGCCCATAACCATCAGCACAGTTAGCACTTCCTCTCATCAAAACTTACCTTAACTTTAGATTATCCATAAACTGATCCATCGTCACTTCATCCAGTAAAATAAAATCAGATTTTCCAAACTCCAGACTTTCCAATTCCATTTTGACTAGTAATATTAGTACTAATTATCCCACTACTAATACTGCTGCTGCTTGTGAAGTGATTGCACAGTGCACAGAAGAGGAAGAGTTTTGTAGCAGCAGCATAAGCATCCGGGGCCAGCGGGGACTTTTTTGGCGTCTC